GGCCCTCCTAAAGTCTGAAGAACAGTAAAACTGGCCATTTGTTTAGAAAGTTTGGAGACCCCTGCTCTAAAAGCTCCTCTTCTAATACACCTGTAAATGCCTATGTGTGCATGGACACAGAAGTGCATTTACAGGCTCAAAAAAAAAGTCAAACACCTGGAAAAGTGGCATTTTTTACATCCTGTGTGCAGGACTTTTTTTCAACGGTAACGCAGGTGAACGCAGTTCCGGCACCACCAGCACAGAATGCATGTAATGGCAAGGGGTTCTGGGGTTTGCTGGAGGTTCTATTTATGCTGGCTGCTGGGGAATCTATTGTCACTGGTAGAAATCTATTTTTGCATTGGGATCTATTGTTGCTGGGAGGGTCTTCTGTTGCTAGGGGGTCAGTTGTTGCTGGGAGGGATCTCCTGTTGGGGGAGGAGTCTATTGTTGCTGGCTGCTGGACGGCTTATTGATGCTTTCTGCTGAGAGATCCTTTGTTGCTGCTGAGAGTCTATGGTTGCTAGGGTGAGTCTATTGTTGCTGGGGTGATATTTTGTTGTGGGGGGTGTCCATTGTTGCTGGGGTCTGTTGTTGTGTGAGGGATCTATTGTTGCTGGCTGCAGGGGATCTGCTGTATTTTACTGTTTTTCTTGTTATCATGAAAACATTACATACAAATTACTTAGCACCACAAAATGATACTTGATTCTGTATACTCTAAAAGGGGCTGTACTGGGAGGTGGGTAGGGGTGGAAGTAAGGGACAGTGCTTGGAGGTGGGTAGGGGGCAGAGACAAGGGGTGACAAAAGGTGGGGGTTCTGCCGCTGTTCTCTGAGAAAAAAAGCCCTGCCCATGTGCATGAGGCCTGAAGGCGGCCATAGATTTCCGATTTTCTTGCCGAATTATCGGGTGATAAAAAAATCGGGTGATATTCGTACCGTTAGTGAGGAAAAATGGTGGCCGTTTTTCTTTATTTTAAGAGATCGTCCAAGCTGGAAAATCCTGGGACGATTTGTTAGATTGGCTGATTTTCGCTGTAATTTATGGTCAAATCGGCCATTCTTCTGGCCGATTAGACAAAGATTAACTATGAAGAAAAATAAGAAACAGAAGAAATAGATTTTGCAGGAGAACAAGAAATAGAATATCAAGAAGAAGAATAGAAGAAAAGAGGAGAAGATTAAATAGATTTTGCAGAAGAAGACAGAGAAGAAGAAGAGAAACAACATTGTATCTATTTGTATGCATTTTGGATACAGATGTTTCTATTCAAGTACAAATAGATACAATGTTGTTTCTCTTCTTCTTCCGCATAATCTATTTCTTCTGTCAAATATAATAGCGGGTCTCTATGCAGGGACACCGCTATTATATTAATTGACGACCGTAGATGGGACTAAAACCCGCCAAATTTTTTTTTAATTAGTGGCAATGTCGGCCGTCTGAACGACTGATTTACGACTTAAAAAAAAAGCTGATTTTCCCCACGTCTATGGCCTACTTGAGTCTCACTTGACTTCTGTGGGCAGTACTGCCTGATGAAAGCGACAAGGGGAGATCATTTTTGATTCGCTGTGGTGCAGAGAATTGCAGCCATGTATGTGTTATACCTCTGTATGGCTGCCTTTGCAGCTTTGTGGCGATTGGGGGGGGGGGGGGGGGGCACATTAGGGGTCAGTAAAAAACAAGGAGTTGCAACCGCTCTGGGCTGTACAAGTTCCATTCAAGTGAATGGGTCTGTGCCACAAGCGGCATAGTGGGATGACATTTTCAGAGTTAAAACAGGCGATGTGGAGGCAACATATCGCCTTTTTCACTGTATGCCACATGATAGCCACATGTCTAAACAAGCAGTTTGCCATCTCTGCCCTGGGCACTGGGTTACCTTCTCCCAGCACTAAACTCTGAACCTGTCAGCGCAAAGATTTACGTTTATCTACACTAAGTACAGGACATTTTTTCAGTTTACAGCTAAATGCTTCAGAATATAAAGACTGTAGGGAATATTCACCACCCGACAGTGCGGGCTAGATCTATCTCTACACGAATCAGTGACAGTCTCACATGTGTGAAAATGCTTGACACAACATCACTATGAGGTCATACATGCATGCACACACAGTCGTAGGCTACCTTCCTTAACCTCTTGGCGCCCGCTCCTGGCCCTTTAAGGGTTTCAGAAGTAGGGAGGCGGGGCAGGGTTTAAGGGTCATGTGACTGCCATGATTTGCTGTCACGGTGATCACATGATCAGGAAAGGTCCCAATTGAAAGAGAAGATTGGGACCTTTCCGTGAGTACCAAACGTGTGCTGGGAGCGTGCAGGGTGTGCGTTCTCAGTACATATGTTTTTTCTTAATTGCATGCAAATGTGTGGGCACTCGGCATCAAGGCCCAGATGCCAGGAGGCCGCACATTTGCGTGCAGCCGGCGCCAAGAGGTTAAGGGCTAAGGCACCCTGATGATCAGTGCCCAGCAGTGCCACCCACCAGTGCCACCCATCTGTGCCCAGCAGTGCCACCAGTCAGTGCCATCAGTAAGTGCCACCCATCAGTGCCACCTATCAGTGCCTATCATTGTTGCATATCAGTGCCGCCTATCAGTGCCCATCGGTGCCAGCTCATTAGTGCTGCCTATCAGTACCACCTCATCAGTGCTGCCTATCAGTGCCCAACAGTGTGCAGCTCATCAGTGCCACCTATCAGTACCACCTCATCAGTGCCACCTATCAGTGCCCATCAGTGCTGCCTATCAGTGCCCGTCAGTGCTGCCTCATCAACGCACATCAGTGAAAGAGAAAAATTGCCTGTTTGAAAAATTTTATAATAGAAACAAAGAAAAACATTTTTTTTCCAAATTTTTTTTTTTTGTATAGTGCAAAAAATAAATACCATACCATCAAGAGAAATCTCTATTTGTGTGAAAAAAATGATAAAAATTTCATATGGGTGAAATATTGCATGACCGCGCAATTGTCATTCAAAGTGCTACAGCGCTGAAAATTGGCATGGGCAGGAAGGGGGTTTAAGTGCCTGGTAGGCAAGTGGTTAAGGACTGTTTACTGACTTTGGATGAAAGTGAGGAAAATGCATGTTGCCTGGCTGTGCAGAGCTTAGGGGGACCCAAAAACTCAGTGACCTTCGAGAGGGTAGTGCTACAGAGAGAAGCAGTATATAATACCAATCAGTTGTGCAGCTAAAATGAAACATGCAAGATACACTTTAATTTAAAGTGATATTAAAGGTTTTTTTTTATTTTAAATAACAAACATGTCATATTTGCTTGCTTCCCGCACTCCTCAGGGACATGTCGCGTGGAAGAGAACTTCCGCTTCCGATCGCCTAAGCCGGGTGTCGGCAACCCGCGGCTCCAGAGCCGCATGCGGCTCTTTTTTCATCATCTTTGCTGCGGCTCCGGAGCACACTGCCCACCAGGTGACAGGCAATAGGGTTTCAGTGGTCGGCAAGCCGCGGATCGCAAGCCACATGCGGCTCTTCTGTGTGCCGGGCGCCCGCTCCCCTCCCTCCTCTCGGGCGGCCGCCTCAAAAGTCAGGACTCTTTTAATCCGGCCCGCGGAGCGTGGAACATTAGCTGTCAGGATGTAGGCGGGGCAGCCAGGATGTAGGCGGGGCAGCGTGACGAACTCCTCTCACAGTCCGCCCTGAAGACCGGAACACAGCGCGGGAACACAGCGAGAGGAACACGCGGAGCAAAGGTAAGTGAATTGAGACAATATGGGGAATTAATTACTATAGGGGGGATGAATTACTATGGGGGATGAATTATTATATGGAGGATTAATTACTATGGGGGATGAATTACTATGGAGGATGAATTACTATATGGGGGATGAATTACTATGGAGGATGAATTACTATATGGAGGATGAATTACTATATGGGGGATGAATTACTATGGGGGATGAATTACTATGGAGGATGAATTACTATATGGGGGATGAATTACTATGGGGGATGAATTACTATGGAGGATGAATTACTATATGGAGGAGAGATGAATTACTATATGGGGGATGAATTACTATGGAGGATGAATTACTATATGGGGGATGAATTACTATAGGGGGGATGAATTACTATGGGGGATGAATTACTATATGGGGGATGAATTACTATAGGGGGGGATGAATTACTATATGGGGGATGAAGCTAACTGCACGATCCTGTATATAGCATTAAGGTAAGAAACAATATATGCAGTGTCGGATTTGTTTTAAATGTTGCAATGGTTTTGCGGCTCCCAGTCTTTTTTTTCCCTTCGGAAACGGGTCCAAGTGGCTCTTTTATGTCTTAAAAGTTGCAGACCCCTGGCCTAAGCAATTGAAATCATTTTTTAAATTAACAAATATTACTTAAATAAATCTTTATTAAGGGCACTTATACCCCCTTCCTGCCCAGGCCAATTTCCAGCTTTCAGCGCTGTCGAATTTTCAATGACAATTGCACGGTCATGCAACACTGTACCCATATGAAATTTTTATCATTTTTTTGTGACAGATAGAGATTTATTTTGGTGGTATTTAATCACCTCTGGGATTTTTTTTTTTTTCTTAAACAAACCAAAAACCACTGAAAATTTTGAAAAAAAAAAAAGTTTTTTCTTAGTTTTTGTTATAAAATTTTGTAAATAAGTGATTTTTCTCCACTGATGTGCGCTAATGAGGCTGCAGTGATGGGCACTGATAGGCTGCACTGATGGACACTGATAGGTGGCACTGATGGGCACTGATGAGGAGGCACTGATAGGTGGCACTGATGGGCATTGACAGGCATCACTGATGGGCACTGAAAGGCAGCACTGATACATGGCACTGATAGGCAGCACTGACTGGCACTGATAGGCGGCACTGATATATGGCATTGATAGGTGGCACTGACTGGCACTGATAGGTGGCACTGACTGACACTGTTAGATGGCACTGACTGGCACTGTTAGGCGACACTGTTAGACACTGTTAGGCAGCACTGACATACACTGATAGGCGGCACTGACAGACACTGATAGGCGGCACAGATAGGCGGCACTGACTGGCACTGATAGGCGGCACTGACAGACACTGATAAGCGGCACTGACAGACACTGATAGGCGGTACTGATGCGCACTGATAGGCGGCACTGACTGGCACTGATAGGTGGCACTGATTGCCAGCACTGATAGGTGGCACTGATTGGCAATGATAGGTGGCACTGACTGGCACTGATGGGTGACACTGAAAGGCAGCTCAGATGGGCACTGATATGTGGCATTGATGTGCACTGGTAGGCACTGATATGTCGCATTGATGTGGCACTGATGTGCACTGGCACGAGGCACTGATGGACACTGACAGGTGGCACTGCTGGGGCTACACTGATCATCAGGGCACACTGATCATCAGTGTACATATCCACTCTGCGGAAAGCTGATTACCGGCTCTCCTCTCCTCTCTCTGATAACCGGCATTTCACTGTTTACATGTGATCAGCTGTGGACACAGCTGATCACATGACCGAGCCGACATCTTCAGCTCTTTCCCTGATTGGTGATCTGAGGGACACAGCGCATCGCTGATCGCCGTGCGCTCCCTGAGCCGCGCATGCGTGCTGAGAATGGGAGGACATCATATGACGTCCTCCCAGGACGAGAGAACCACCTTGCAGGTGGGAGGTGGTTCAATAGAAATTGTATAAATATATATGGAAAAAAAAGCGTTATGCCAACATGAGCCACACTAAGTGTAGGTTCACACCTAAGCGGTTTCCGTTGCAGTTTGCAGAAACGCACTACAGTACATTTAACATGATTTCCTATGGGACACATACACATCTCCACGTTTTCACCCAATGCTTTTTTTGGAAAGGGTGAGCCCCGGGTTCATGCTGATGTGGTGTGGTAAATCATATGTGATTCAGACAGGAACCACACCTCATTCCTGTGCAAATCACATGCGATTTCTGTGAAGTGCAATTTATTTGAGCCATACATTTTGTATGGCTCTAATCGAACCGCATCTGCACAAAAAAAAGTACAGGACCCTTTTTTTGTCCACACTAGAATAGGATCACATGGCTATTCACACCTATGCGATCCAATTCTGCATATCACACTGCATTTTGCAAACTGATTTTGGGTGTCATTAACTTAAAATACACACCAGCAGTGGTTTGTATGAACGGGGTGCGATTATGATGCTGTTTGGAAATCAGCGCAAATTCCGGGTGTGAACCAGGGCTCAGGGATTTTTTTAAACGCAAAACATTGCATTTTTGGTTCTATAGACTTCAATGGAGACGCTGCAGAAAAGTATGTAGTGCGTTTTTGATGTGTTTTGCGTTTGAGCCTGGGTTCATATTGATGTGGTGCAGTACATCGCATGTGATTTGCACATGAATCGCACTGCATTCCTGTGCAAATCACATGTGATTTGTGTGCGGTGCAATTTGAGCCATACATTTTGTATGTCTCTAATCGCACCGCATCAGCACCACAAAGGTGCAGGACCCTTTTTTTTTGTCCACACTAGAATAGAATTGCATGGCTATTCACACCCATGCGATCCAATTCTGCACATCACACTGGGTTTTGCAAACTGATTTTGGGGTGTCATTAACTTAAAATACACACCAGCAGTGGTTCGTATGAACGGGGTGCGATTATGATGCTGTTTGGAAATCGCACAGAAATCAGCGCAAATTCCGGGTGTGAACCAGAGCTCAGGGACTTTTTTAAATGCAAAACATTGCGTTTTTGGTTCTATAGACTTCAATGGAGACGCTGTAGAAAAGTATGTAGTGCGTTTTTTTGATGTGATGTGTTTTGCGTTTGAGCCTGGGTTCACATTGATGCGGTGCAGTACATCGCATGTGATTTGCACATAAACCGCACCGCATTCCTGTGCAAATCACGTGATTTCTGTGCGGTGCAATTTGAGCCATACATTTTGGAAAGCAACAAGTTGCGTTTTTGGTTCTATAGAAACGCTGCAAAAAAGCATGTATTGCGTTTTTTTTTATGCGTTTTGTATTTTAAATCTGCCTAGCAACAAGAAAAATAAAAAATGAAAATAAAATGCAAAACGCAACAAAAACGCAACACAATACATTTGTATGGCTCAAATTGCACTGCATCTGGACCACAAAGGTGCAGGACCCTTTTTTGTCCACACTAGAATAGTATTGCATGAGTAGTCAGACCCATGCGATCCGATTCTGCACATCACACCAGGTTTTGCAAACTGATTTTGGGGTGTTCCTATCTTAAAATACACACCCATAGTGGTTCGTATGAACGGGGTGCAAATATAATGTGGTGTAGAAATCGCACAGACACTAGTGCGAATTCCGCACCGCATCAGTGTGAACCCAGGCTTAATCTGCCCAGCAACAAGTTGGGAAGAAAAAAACAACAAAGCAAAATGCATCAGAATACAGCAAAAACGCATGTGCAAAAACACAAAACGCACCACAAAAAGCACTGCAGAAACGGATTCAACGCAAACTACATAGATATGAACCTAGCCTAGGAATACATGCACAGCATTTTCCATATATTCCAATGGCCCTAGTTCACACCAGTGCAGTCAGTTCCAGTCACTTTCTGGTGTAGAAAAAAAAGTAGAATATGCTGCATTTTTTCTGCACAGAGCCATACTAGAACATAGCAAACTGCATCAAAACTGCAGCGGAACTGCGTGTGGTGTGAACTGCAAGCAAAAATGTATGGAGTACATTTTAGTGGTGTGAACTGGCCCTAAAGTTCACACCTATGCAGGTTACCTCTGAGCTGTTTCTGCATTGTGTTTTGTGTCGCGTTTTTGATGTGTTTTGCATTTTATTTTCATTTTTTATTTTTCTTGTTGCTTGGCAGATTTAAAATGTAAAACGCATCAAAAACGCAATACATGCTTTATTGCAGCGATTCCATTGACATCTATAGAGCCAAAAACGCAACTTGTTGTTTTCCAAAAAAAAACGCACTGGGTGAAAATGCACAGGTGTGACCATGTCCTGTAGAAAATCATATTAAATGGACTGTACTTCGTTTCTGCAAAATGCTGCAGAAAACGCTTAGGTGTGAACCTAGGGTAAGGGCTACTTCATACTAGCTGGAGTTCAGTGCACTTTTTTTCTGCATTAAAAATACATGCACAGCATTTTCCATGTATTCCAATGGCCCTAGTTCACACCAGTGCAGTCAGTTCCAGTCACTTTCCGGTGCAAAAAAAAAGTAGAATTTTTTCTGCACAGAACCATACTGGAACATAACAAACTGCATCAAAACTTCAGCAGAACTGCGTGTGGTGTGAACTGTAAGCCAAAACATATCCGAAGTGCGTTTTTGTAGTGTGAAATGGCCCTAAAGGGAATAAAGTTATTATTATTTCAGGTACTTATATAGCACCATCAATTTACGCAGCACTTTACATATATATTGTACATTCACATCAGTCCCTAACCCTCAAGGGGCGTACAATCTAAGGTCTGTAACTTACATCCATACATACACATACTAGGGCCAATTTATACAGGAGCCAATTATCCTACCAGCATGTCTTTGGAGTGTGGAAGGAAACCGGAGTACCCGGAGGAAACCCACACAGGCACAGGGAGAACATGCAAACACCAGACAGGTGATGCCGTGGTTGGGATTTGAACCAACACCTCTAGTACTGCCAGGTGGAAGTGCTAAGAAAAGTTGTGAAGTTTTGAGTAATGCGACACTTGCATATCCAGCAGTTCATATATGTCAAAAGAATTTGTATGATTTCTATTTTATAGTTTTTTTTCCTTTTTTTTAGTATGTATTCATTTTTTAAAACAATGTTTCAGTGTACATGTATATATGTAAGCAATAGAAGGAAGAGTCAGGGGCTGTGGCAGGGAGTGGGAGGTTTGTTCTGTGCAGAGTCCCCCCCTCCCCAGCAGCAGCTCAGGCTATGAAAGGGTTACTATCCTCCCCCTGCCATTGTGCAGCCTCTCTCCTCCACCCTCCCTCCTTCCCTCCATGAGTCACTGTGCACCTCCTCCTGCTGCCTGTCTCTAGGTGATGGTGCAGCTAAGATGGACGCTGTGTGATGGTGTGTGCCGCCTCTTCCCCCTGGACACTGTGTCTCTGAGCCCCCCTTCCCGGAGCCTGTCCCCTCTGTGTGACTATGGAGGGACAGGCAGAGCCCTGTGTCTAGATGAGGACCCCCCTTAGGACTCTCCTCCTCCTCCGCTGCTGATCCTGCCCTCTCCCCCCTGCACCATGGCTGGACTTATCAAGAAGCAAATCCTGAAACATCTCTCCAGGTCTGTTTTCTATCATTGTCATCTTTCCCGTCCTTCTCCTGGCTAGCGGAAATGCTGTAGAAACCCCTAGCAACCAATCAGTGGTCGCCCTAGTGTGCGCTCACATGAGGTCACATCTGGTTGGTTGCTGGGGGTGACCGCACTTTGAAACATGGCCGGTAGAAAGGACTGATTATTAATCCTTTATAGGGGGGACATAAAGAGAGTCCGATGAGTCCTAGGAGGTGTGGGAGGATGATGCCAGGAGTGCCAAAGACGGGGGGGGGGGGGGTGCAGGTGGATGCGAAAGGGGTTAAAGGGAATGGACGGTTTAATTGCGGGAAAAGTATGAAAATGTGTTTTGCTCAGCTGCACCTTGAAGTGGGAGGGTGACGTGACAACAGGAAATCAGAATGGGCTTCGTAAACATGATGTCACGCTGTGGGATTGAGGGTCCAAGGGTGACATCTGTGCCTGGCGGTGTCTGGCGGGCTGAAGGTCTCCTGTCACCTTGTTATCGCACGCCTACGCCACAGGAATCCTGATCAATTATTTCCTTCCTCACCCTTTTTCGTGTTTTTTTTTTTTTGGAGGAATTTACTACAGCCAGGCATACTAGAAGAAGAAAAGGTGGAGAGAGATGACAGCCATCCACACATTAACCCCTCTGTAACCATCTTCGCAGACAGGGCCAGATCTAGACCTGGGGGCCCCGGGGCACTTCACGTTTGTTGCACCCCCCCCCAATACACAGGAATTAAAATACTCAGCAAATTAAAGTCCTTACGACTAGACCTGCCTCTACATGAAATGTCCTCCGTAGTTGACTTTTCTCTTAAACTAACAAATCGATAACTATAGAATTGGTTCACTCTCAATTTCAGAAATGCGCAACAAAACGTCGCCATGAGGTCACATGCACGCAATCAAAGGCTGCCTTCCTTGGGAGATTAAATGCTTGAAGTATGCTTTGATTGGGTTGCCAAAAATTTGTTTAAAACTTAAAAAAATATACCAGGGGAGAGCAGCTTATTAATTCCCACAGAGAAACTAATGTTTTATGGCAGACAAGGGGGGGTTGATATTTTGGCCTTTTATAAGTTCGGTACCCATAGAAGGTGTGTCCCAGCCCATTTTTGATAAGCTCTGGTGCCAGGCCCCGTCCCAATCACTAACAGATGTTGTTCAATCTAGTTTTGTATACAGGGTGTAATGGGGGGACTTGATAGGTTTCCCTTGGCTGTTTTGGCCTTTTATATTGAAGTGTCGGTACTTGCTAACATAGAAAGGTGTGTCC